GTGGCTGACTTCAACACAACTAGAAAGCACACACAAAACTAGAAAGCACATACACACACACACACACACACACACACCCCAAGACGGGGAGAGGGAGAATAAGAGTGAGGGTGAAAAAGGATTCTTGGTAGTAGGAGGAAGACAGCTGCCCTTTAGAATAGATAATAACATAAAATGGAAGGAGTAGTTGTTGTGTAACTGGTTTGCAACAAAGCAGCGTCACAGCAGAGAAAGTGGCTGTGTCAGAGGACCTGATTCCAGGGTGAGGAGGCAGGTTGGATGCCTGGTGGAGCTGAACACCGCGGCGCAGGCATTGGCGGCTTATTCTCATTGTCCTTTTCCGCCATGATGTTTGAGCAGACCGTCGCCTGGATAAGAAGGATGGCTTGGCTCAAGAGTTAAAGCAGCATCCGATTATGGTGACTAGACATGGGTCCTTCCTATATGCTCCTCTGAAACACTGTTCTAAATATAGTCCCTTCCAAGGGGCTGCAGAAGAGCAAGGATTCTTTGATGGAAAAGCTGGCCATGCACAGCTCTGCTGCGGAAAAGCATGCGAGGTGGGGATGCGCCTGTCTTTCTGCCATGCGCTGGTTTTCACCATGGACATGTGGCTGTTGTGGGAGCCATGAGGCTTTCTGAAGAGTGCTCTTTTATGGAAGCAGTCCCAGGCAGCTTTGGCCTCTCCTGCCTTGAAAAGTATATACTGTTTAGAGATGGAAAGGTATATGAATTTGATGCTTTTATTTTCCGAGATTTATCTTTCTGACCTTGGGAAATCTATCACATTCTAGTACCCGTTCTGTTACACTTTATCAGTTCTGTGTTACACTAGTCCTGTGAAATAAAGACCTTTGTTTTTGTTCTCGGAATCGGAGCTTTGGAAGGTTGGAAAGCTTTCAGAGGTCATTTAATCCCAGGCTCTGTTGAAATCCAAAATGTGCTGTTATAGTATTCCATTACATAAAATCTGATTGGACTAGAGAGGATTGACAAAAATGATCAAGGAGTGACAAAACTCTTGTGATGGAAGGTTACAGTATTTAGGGAAAAAAACCCAAGATAACTTTGTGGAATATGTTGGGGAGTTAGTAACCCACTTGTAATGCTAGAATTTGGAGTAAACCACTGAACGGAGGGAGATTTCACACAGTGTACGTGGAGTGTGCTTTGCACAGGATATAGTAATGGTTGTAATAACTGGAGAACTTGAATAGTAGATTGGACAAATTAGTGGAGAATGCAGCTGGGAATGAGTACTAGGTATTTTAGCACTATACCTCTCGTATCAGTAGCTGGGGTGGGGGGGCAGTGAATGCAGATTTTTTCTGGTCCCACCCTGTTTTCCTGAAAATAAGCCCTAGTATGATTTTTCAGGATGCTTGTAATATAAGCCCTACCCCCAAAATAAGCCCCAGTTAAGTGAAAAACGACCAGAAGAAGATGACGAGTGTATTTGAATAAATGTAGATGGTTGTACATAAAAAAAATCCCTTGAAATTAAATCCTAATGTGTTTTTGGAGCAAAAATTAATATAAGACCCTGTCTTATTTTCGGGGGAACATGGTAGTTCTGTACTTCCCATGGCTATCTGATGAGCCACCGGGAACAGAATACTAGGTTAGATAACTCTTTGGTTAGCGTCATCACCACTCTTGATGTTTATGTGCCTCTAGAAGGATGTAAGCAGATTCTTGCCATCAGAATTGCTAGAACTCTTAGAGCTGCCGCTGTTTCAGTCCTGGTAGTCTTCAGATAAGAGTCCTACTGTGTTGGAATAAATGTGTTTCTCCAAGGCCAGTAGTATTTCTATTTATGTAGCAGCCACTGTTGCCATTTTCTAGTGACACTATAGATTGGTTTTAGTTCTATATGCTCACTGCATGTAGTTGGGTTGAAAACACATTTTACAGATTTTGACAGCTTTTTAAGGTCTGCGGAAGCATGCATAAACATTCCTTTTGGGATTTGTATGCAGGTAATTAGTACTTGTTGCAGGAATTTCTGTGACATTGTGGCCTGTCAAAAATAAGAGGTGACTGGATCTGAGTTATAAAGTGCCATTGGTGCTGTAGACTTGCTTTCTGAAAGGGCCCAAAGGGATTATTCTGGTGGCTGAACTGGTAGAGCTTCAGCTTGTCCCAGGGTCTGTGATGTATAGTGAGATCAATGGTAGACTGGCTTGGGGGACTGTTTTGTGGTACATTAGGACTTCAGAATGGCACCAGGAAATCAGGTTTACTGCTAAGGTGGCAATAAATTAAATTAACTTTTAAATACATCACATGAATTAGAGTTTTGTTAAGATGGCATTTTTCCTTTACTCATAAAGGCAAATGACATGGTGCATTTGAATTGCAACAAAGCAACAGTGTTGCATCATCACCTTTGTGTCTCATAAGAAGTGATAATAGAATAGAAGCCTAAATCAAAGGTATGCCTTGAAGGATCAAATTGAAGTTGGAAGCATTGTTATGAATTGGTGTTTAGCTTTCTAACCTAAATAGTAAGAGCACCAGAAAGTAATGGGAAATTGGGCAAGGCTGAAACCAGAGATGTTGGCTAAAGCGCTAGTTACCTAGTAGTCACAGACTGGGAATTGAAGGAGGCTCTTGTAGTTTTGAAGATTGAGGTCTCTGTGGGGGATAAGAGGAGCTTTGTCTTGCCAACAAGTAGTAGTAGATCTATCTGCCTGTGCTGAGGCAAGAAGCAGAATAACTCAGTTGTAAATTTACAGGGAGATTAACAATATAAACATTTGCAAAATAATGAAAGTGATGGAATTGTGGTTAATAACATCTGGAAGATTTAAATGACTGTAATAAAAGAATTAATGCAAGAAAACCTATCTAGTAGATCATCTGGTGGTGTCAAATAGCCAGAAATGACGGTCCCGTTAGGTCTTCTGAAATAAATCGCCTGTTGTTGTACCCTAAAGCTAGCATGATGAAGTAGATGATGCTTACCCTGCCTGCAAGAGTTGCATATATACATTATCACTGAAATGAAGTAGGTTTTTGACTTGTTGACAAGTCTAAAAATAACCAACAAAACTTATCTAAAATTTAGATTGTGTATTTGTAACATTAAAATCAAACAACTTCTCATTCATATCGGTTGAAGTTCTAAGGAGAATGGTGATTTGGGATCTGGAAAGTAATGCAAGCTTTTTGATTTCAGATAAGATTTGTGACCAAATTAGCGATGCTGTCCTTGATGCACACCTTAAACAAGATCCAAATGCCAAAGTAGCATGTGGTGAGTATTCCTGACTGTTACTAGGTGGGAAATGGCATCTTGGGGTTCTGTGAGGAAGACAATACTTCTGCAGTTAGAAGTGACAGTGCCAACTTTGCTTTATTATGTAGAAACTGCTGCAAAGACTGGAATGATCCTTTTGGCTGGGGAGATCACATCCACTGCTGCGGTTGACTATCAGAAAATCGTTCGTGAAACAATCAAGCATATTGGCTATGATGATTCTTCAAAGGGTAGGTAGATTGGCTGTGTCTTGGACTCCCTTTTCACCCTGTAGCTCCAAATTGAACATGCTTGGTTTCTGATGCTGGATGCTTTCTATTTTGTGCATGTTCTAGGTTTTGACTACAAGACCTGCAATGTATTGGTTGCCCTGGAGCAGCAGTCCCCTGACATTGCTCAGGGAGTCCATCTTGACAGAAAGGAAGAAGACGTCGGGGCTGGTGATCAGGTTAGTGTCCGCAGGCTCTACATTAATCATAAGTGCTATATGATGCACATTCCTAAATCTTCACTTTTGCAATTTGAAGCTTATGAACTCTAATTTTTATATATATTGTAGGGTTTGATGTTTGGTTATGCCACTGATGAGACTGAGGAATGCATGCCCCTGACTCTTCTTCTAGCCCACCAGCTGAATGCAAAACTGGCAGAACTCCGTCGTAACCATATTTTGCCCTGGCTACGACCAGATTCTAAGACACAGGTAAGTGTGTTAGCTTGCATCTCCTGATGAGACTGAGGGAAAAGAAGTTTCCAGAAATTGTATGGGAAGCCGTAGTGGATGTATTCTGCAAATCTCTTTGTCTGTAGGACTTTAAGCTACAGTCCAAATACAAGCTTGAAGATACCAACGAAATGAAACAAAATGCTGATGTTTCCCTTGTCCTTCGTTTCAGGTGACTGTGCAGTACAGGCAGGACCGTGGTGCTGTTATCCCAATTCGAGTCCACACAATTGTTATTTCAGTTCAACATGATGAGAAAATTGGTCTGGATGAAATGAGAGATGCTTTGAAAGAAAAAGTGGTCAGGGCTGTCGTGCCTGCACAATACCTTGATGATGATACTGTCTATCACTTGCAGCCTAGTGGCCGTTTTGTAATTGGGGGTCCCCAGGTAAGACAAAAGATGTTTATTTCCACCCCCGTTCCCAGCCATCTGGGCAAATGTTGATGATTTGGGAAAGTGCAACAGTGTTGTGTTGCAGGAGTGTCCTGTTTCTAAGAGAGCCCCATTGTGTGATGCAGTTAAAGGGCTGTGTAAAATCACAAAATACAAAAGGAGACTGATGACGACGATGATGATGATTTGCTTAATCTTAAGTCCAAGGTCTATGAAAAAGTGTGCCAGTTTATTATTTAAAATATGTTTACTCTGCCTTTCTCCTTAAAAGGACAGTTTTTTTCTATGTGTTCAGAAAGGATGGATTCTCCATGAAGATGGACAAAAGAAATAACAAGCATAATTAATGATTGCAGGGTGATGCTGGCTTGACTGGCCGGAAGATCATTGTTGACACCTATGGTGGCTGGGGAGCGCATGGAGGTGGTGCTTTCTCTGGTAAAGACTACACAAAAGTCGACCGTTCGGCTTCTTACGCTGCTCGCTGGGTTGCAAAATCCCTCGTGAAGTCCGGTCTTTGTCGAAGAGTGCTGGTTCAGGTATGTTTGCAGTGAAAATTGTGACTGGCCAAACTACCGCATAATGTAGCTTGTTATAGGATGTTAGGGTTAAAGGTACACAGGGTGAAAGAGGTTATCTTAGTAGTCGTTTGCAGTGATGGGCGTGTGTGTGGAATTTTCCTACTTCTAAGCTGGAAGTGTCTCTTACATTTAGAAAGTTGATAACCTCAGCTGAAGCTGTGCAGAGATGCACCAGAAACTAGTAATGCTCAGATGTAATAGCTGCTTGTGAAGTGGTCTCACCCATTTGTTCTCATTTTTATAAATTTTATTTATGTAAAATGTTTATATCCCGCCTTTCTCCCAAAGGATCCAAGGTGGCTTATCCAGGGATCCAAGAGTGGTCGAATAGACCAGATGGGCGGGATATAAATCAAATAACTAAATAGATTATAGACTGCAGCTTCAAATCTGAATCAGAAATTTAGATCCTAAACCATGAAAAGATAACAGGATGATAGATACAGTGAAGGAAGCAGGGAGGGGTGGAATTAACTTACAAAATGCTAGTAGAAATATTAGCAGTACTGCACTGGAGTAAATTAGATCTTGGAAGGCTGAGTTGGAAGTGAAATTGAAAGTAATCTGTTATGGAAAAAAATTGGACATGATGTCAAGAACGGAGTTGTTAGCTTTAATATTTGTGCTTTAAATTAATTTTGCTCTCAGGTCTCGTATGCCATTGGAGTAGCCCACCCACTGTCAGTCTCAATTTTCCATTATGGCACTTCCCAGAAGAGTGAGCATGAGCTGCTAGAGATCGTGAAGAGGAACTTTGACCTCCGCCCAGGGGTCATTGTCAGGTAAAATGTGGTGGCACGTGCATATATTTAAAGAGAGAAACATAAGAGCAGGAAGGTTGAGAGAGCTGTAAGCAAGGCATGGCCCTGAACAACTTCACCGAGATGTTGCCATTTCCCTGTGGTATCCTTCCTGTCTACTGCTAAGTGACAGAGGAAAATATCTTCTGCACCACCAGGAGTTCTGATCCCAAGAGGCAGTGGCAGTATCGGTTAAGGCAGGTTTTCCCTGTAGTGTGCTATGTTCATGAATAATAAATACAAGGTGTCGCTTCCCCACAATAAGTGGTAGCTGAAGGAGATGGCCTGGAGGGCTGTCTCCCTCTGATACAAGCAAAATACATGTCAGTCTGCAGGTAACATGGGGGGAGGGATTCATGGGGAGACCCGACATAAAAGGTTCTGGAACAACATGGTTTTAACTCGTACGGTACATGAAACTGTCCAAAATTCCTCCAGTCCAGAAAAGAATTTAAAATGGGGAATCGGTCTTAAGGCGTAACTGCTAGAAGCCATGTCTAATCCTGAAATGTTTTGTTTAAAACTATCCCACAGTGTACTGAGTTATTACAGTAGTTGTAAATGCTCCACGAGAGAACTAAAAGTGGTGTGTTAAACCAGTTCTCTAGGGACCTATTCACTTTCTATTTCTAACTAATCACGTTGGGTCTGTGATGTTCAGGGCTGGCTACTTCTCTTAGACTGTTGGCTAAAACAGTATCCTATAGAACTCTAGCATGAATTTCAGGGTGCTTGGCTCTAGAAAAATGGAATTGGGCAGGTCTGGTTGGAATAAAAATTGGATATTCAGATAGGGAGTACCGTCTCCAGTGGAGAATCATGTGGTGATCTGCAGCTTGATGTAGCCATTCATAAAGGAGGGTAAGTATTCCATAATACCAGCTGAGCCCAGTGGCTTAGATTTCCTTGGGATTTGCATTGCTGTCTGTGAGACCCAGAAAGGCAACAAACACAATTGTGACTCGGGCAAGGCCACTCTTGCACAAGGGCATCTCTTTTGGGCCTGCAGCGTTGATCATCACTGATGACAAGTGGCCTCTTCTGGTGTACCTGCTTTTGCTTTGTTTGGTGAATGCCCTGTATTGAGTTACGGACTTGTATATTCCAGGGATCTGGATCTGAAGAAGCCTATTTATCAGAAGACTGCAGCCTATGGTCACTTTGGTAGGAACAGCTTCCCATGGGAAGTGCCCAAAAAGCTTAAATACTGATTTTGTTGGGCTTCTTTCCCCAGACCTGTTGGTGTCATTACAGAGAAACCTTCAGGCTCTTCTGTGGGAAAGAACCCTGTTAACTAAACTGGTCCTGTCCTTCTCTGCTCTTAACTTGGCACGCTCTGTCCATTGCCATCAATATTAGTCCTCTGGGGACCGCAAATTGCACTGTGCTTTCTCCTCTTCCTGATGTGCTTGACGTATGAGTAAAGCCAGTGGGTTATAGGCGCTATCTGTTACCTAGATGGAGGAACAGACTAGTCAGAACAGTGTTTCGGTCTGGTCTTCTATATTTGGCCTAAATGCTAATAATCATTCCCCCACCCCGCCCCCACCCTTCAAGCAATGAATAAGGGAACGTCCCTTGTAATGTGCACATAGTCTGTGCTTCCATGTATTTTCTGTCCAGATCTAGAGCAGCATGGTGCAATTACTTGGCTCTAACGAGAACATAAAGCTCGTTTGTTCTTCCCGCCTGTCAGTCTTGTGAGAGCTGCAACCACCTTGACAGATACCCTTGCATGTAAGTTCCATTGGAATGGCAGTCTAGGGCATTTTTAAATGGTCAGTTCTGGTCCACCAGCCTGTGGTTTATTAGATTAATGAAATTAGTCAGCACCACATTTTAATCTTTTCATCTCTACTCTGGGGGTGGGGGAAGTGTGATTTACTCAAACCTTTGAAAATCCTATGCACATTTTAGCACTAGCCAAACCTCACCATTGTTACCAAGCGGGCACTTTGCCAGCCATGTGGTATATTAGAGAAGTCACAAGGTCATACCCAAGTTCTGTGGGTTGCACACGTTGGCACCTGGATATATTTTTCTTTAGAGCCAAGAACTTCATATTGCACAAAACTCCCAGGGTTTATTTTCAGCCAGGTCCAAACTACATTCTGAAGCCAGTTCTTTTCAGAGTAGAAGCGCATTTGGAAAGGACGTGGGGAGAGAAACCCTACATACTTGACATTTTTTTAAAACAATTGATTATTTATTGTGTTTGGGACAGGGTGTGAGTACAGAGAAGCCCTTGTCTCAAATGGCAGCTTTTAAACTTTGGCACCATGATTCCTTGATAGTTTCCCAGCATTCCCTGCTAGGCCAAGGTGTCCTACAGAAAAGCCTTGGGTGGCAACCTACAGGGGGTCTGGCTTGTGTAAAACCGGGGAGGGCAGTGCTTGAGGGCAATTGGCCTTGGGAGAGGCTGACTTGGCTGGTGTTGTACAGAGAAGCCAGCTTGTTTACCTGCCCATCCCATGGCCAGTGACCTAAGCAAGAAGTGCCTTTTGCGTTCCACTTTTTTTTCTGGGCGTTTATTTACATATGTCTGGTTCTTGAAATTCCACATTGATTAAAGATATTAATAAAAGTGCTAGGTTATATCTGAACACATTGTGTCTTGTCTGATTGGTACCTGGAGCATTGGACCTTGTGTATCCTTATTTTAGGTCATTGCCTGCCTTGACCAACATTTCTCTGGGAATGCACGGGAAGGGGGCCTGTGGGCCTAACTCTGTGAGCCTGGCATAGATGGATGGCTCAGTCAAGTTTCCTCTTCTAATGAGCTGCAGCCTCTGTAACTGCCCCCCCCTCTAAAGCCTTTAAGTTGCTTTCCCCAAAGCTGTATTTTACCTAGTACTAGGGTCTTCAGGACACTTTCTCCATTGTAGTGGCAGCTGCTGTTTGAGTGGGTTTAGGGTGACCACAAGAAACACTGTTTAAGAGTTAAACTACAATCCTGGGGTCTTTCAGTTGTTCACTTTCTTATGGTGAGCTTATGTGATGTGATAGCTACTTACATTCAGTGTTATCTTGCACATACCTGTGCTTTTTCAAGTTTCATTTGCAGCAGTTTAAAAAGAAATAAAACGCAATTGCAGAGCAAGCTGCAGTACCTGACTAGTCTCCAGCTGTTGAGTTTTTTCAGAAATACTCTAGTTTTACTTTGGAGCATCTAGCTTTTATGTTTAATAGGTGAAATCCTGTTGGGCAGTGTCTGCACAGTGGGACTGGTCATCTGTAGCAGCAGATTATATCTTATAAACGCTCCCTTTTTCCATTTTGGCATTCACAGCAGTTTTATCACATAGCATGTGAGCTGTGCACACTTCAGACAGCAATCTGCTGCCACCAATGACATTTCAGATGGAGCTGCACAATAGGATTTCAAGCGATCGGTATAAACCATTTCATCATTCTTGTGCATTGTGGCTTGCAGCTTTGTGATAAATTGCTGCTTAAGTGGTGTCCTTCCACTTCCCGACCCTTTTTCCTTTTTAAGTGACAGCATTCACAATGTCAATTATAAGTGCTGTTTTAAAAATTGAAAATGAAAAAAGTAGTTTTGCCCCAGTGGCTATCAGAAAGGGAGTGACTTGATGCAGGGAACTCTGTTGTGACATTACAGAGGATTTTCTCTGAACAGTAAAGCTAGGAAGTACCTTGGCAACAGGAAAGGGAGTTGCTGGTAAATCCGCTGGCCCATTCTTTGCTGTCCTTCAACAAGCAAGCAGAGAGTTTTCTTTTCAAGCTGGCTTTGTCTCTGTAATTGGCTGCCTAAGGGGGGGGGAGTGGTAGTGTATTTTGTCACCCCTTCCAGTTTCCTTTTAAGGGGTAAGACAAGGCATAAATACTTGTAAATAACTACAGTATAGAGTGTTAAACACTGTATTGAGCACTACGGAAACATCCATTTTAGTTCTACTTGCAGTCACTGAAATGGAGCATTTCATGGTGAAGGGGCTGTAGAAAATTATGCATGGTATTAGGTTGCACAGTTTAGCCAAAATCTTGCAGAGTTTTAGGGTTTACAGCTCAGTTTCATGAAATAGCTTCCTGTCCTTTAACTGTACTTATTTCCTGCTGCCTATCACCAGTTTTAGACACAGCATAAGCTTGCCAGCTGGAAGGGAAACAGCTGAGAGCCATATCTGGCCCAGGTACCTCTTCAATGGATTACAACACATCTATTATAAGAAGCAGTTGGAACACTTAACATTCCTGTGTATGATTGCTATGTTACATGCTGTCGGATCCCTTCCAGCCCATGGTGACCATATGAATGAATGATCTCCAAAAAGTCCTTATTGCCAGCATCTGTGCTTAGCTCTTTCAAACTCAAGGCCATGAGTTTGCTATGGGGTCATTCTTGCCTCTATTTTTGGACCTTGTCTTTTCCTGTCACCTTTGGCTTTCCCTCCCAATGAGCTTTGTGTGTGATGTGGCCAAAGTCACTTCAATTTTGGCATGTTTGCTTCTAGGGAGAGTTCAAGCTATAGCTGCTGTATAGGGAATTCTTTCCTTAGATCTCTGGGTGAGGAATTCTAAAGCTATACAGTTGGACACTGCCTTTTGGGACACAGAATATTCAAGAATAAATTTACAAAGGATTTCTGAATATCTGTAGGAAATGACAGGGGGTACTTTGAATTAAGTGATTCGTATATTTTCCTGTCATGAAATCTTTCAGCTTTCTCCTAGACTATACCTAGGTCAAAATCACTTGTTCTGTCAGAAGTGTTGCTGCATTCAGATGATTTTCTTGTTTAGTTAAGTCGTGTCTGACTCTTTGCGAACCCATGGACCAGAGCATGTCAGACCCTCTTGCCTCCCGGAGTTTGGTCAAATTCATGTTGGTCGCTTCGGTGACACTGTCCAACCATCTTATCCTCTGTCCGTCCCCTTCTCCTCTTGCCTTCACCCTTTCCCAACATCAGGGTCTCTTCCAGGGAGTCTTCTCTTCTCATGAGATGGCCAAAGTATTGGAGCCTCAGCTTCAGGATCTATCCTTCCAGTGAGCACGCGGGGTTGATTTCTTTCAAACAGACGGTTTTTACTTCTGAGTAAATGGTTACTTACATATTCAAATCCTACTTTTTAAAAATACTGAGCTGACTAACAAGAAACAAGCAGCAGATTAAAATAACAAAAGCAGGTTTATAATGCAGGCATGTGGAAGGTGCATTAATCCTGAGCACAAAGGGCTGAGATGTTGCTATAACTGCATAGTCCTCTTGAAAGACAAGAGCATCAGGCCCTGGGGAAAAATTGGCTGAGGTACTGCCCCCTGCCGCTGAAAGGAAGTGTTCAAAATGGATTGAAATAAAAGGGTAGTTGTGTGGTTGATTCAAAATGAAAAAACAGGCAATATCTTTATAGACCACTAAAAAATCATGATACAGTGCACAAGCTTTTGTGGATTAAAAAACACACTGTAAAGTCCAAAAGTTCATGGCAAGATGGATTTTGCCAGGAAAGTTGCTTGTAGTTGTCAAGTCCAAAGGTTTTTGACAGACCCATTCTCTGCAGCAGAAGTCGCATCGTCAGATCTGACTAGAAAAAAAAGAGGAGCAGGAGGAATGTGGGTGGAGGAAGATACGATGATTTTTCCCACATCTGTTATTTGGGGAGCAGGTCTGTGTGTATACAAAAGCTGATCCCAAATAGTTTTCAAGGGACAAGGTTCTGCTCACAAATGTCTCCCATCTTAGTCTGGACTAGAGATCACACTGCACGTTGAAGCAGATAACTTGTTTTCTCCTCTTGCAGTGTTTTCTCTCAAGGCATGCAAATCCGTAAGTGACAGCATGCCTGAGACGTTGGATGTGCAGACGATGCCAGTGCTATCTCCCAGTTGACCATGCTCAATGTGGAATGAGGCAAGCTTCTGTTTTACTAAACAAATGGGCTTTTGAAAATTTTTGCCTGAAAGGAACAGAGCTTTTCGATGTGGAATTGACATCTTGCCAATTTAGAGATGCCTAAGGTGGCCCTTTATCAAGGTGTCACCCACCTGTATCACCTTTCGATCAAAATAAATGTTACTCTTGGAAGGATATCAGGCAAAACCGTAAAGATTTGCCTGCTATATTTTAATTCAAGCTTTTGTGGACACACCCAAATCTGTTTTCCCCTTATGTGACCTCTTTTAAAAGGATGTCACAATATTGTTGTTTTTTATTAATGCCCCACGAAGACGTTAAAAAACTATTCAACAGACATACTGGCTGCTTATCAAAATAGAGTACATCACAAAAACACTGAATTGGCCAAAATTAATATTAAAGGTAAAGGTTCCCCTTGACATTGAGTCCTGACGTGTCCGACTCTAGGGCGCGGTGCTCGTCCCGGTCTCCAAGCCCTAGAGTCAGGGTCTGTCCGAAGACAGTTTCCGTGGCAGTGCAACTAGACACAGAACGCCGTTACCTTCCCACTGAGGTGGTACCTATATATCTACTCGCATTTTTTCATGCTTTCGAATGGCTAGGGGGGTGGGAGCTGGGACAAGCTCACTCCGTCATGTGGCTTCGATCTTGCGACTGCAGGTCTTCCGACCTTGCAGCACAGAGGCTTCTGCGGTTTAACCTGCAGTGCCATCATGTCCCACTAAATTGATATTAAAAACAATAAAAATGAGAAAATAGACAATTACTGAAATGTCCCCTTGTTAATTGTATGAGAAGCTTACAAAGACGAGTAACTTGCAATTTCCTGACAAATTCTGATGGAATATTTTTACAAACGCAGGAACAGGTGGTACTTTTATTGGGCCACTAAATAAATGAATATCTATAAATAAATTATCCAGTAAATAATTTTAGTGGATTAAAAAATTAGCGCATGACTCCACTCTGACTTTTGGTCCCTACAAATGGACCATGATCTACTTTGGTACATTTTTAACTTCCTACCCAGGCTATTCTTACGAAGCATTCACCATGGTCCGCCTTTATGCCGATAATCCCGAATGAATGACAGCAGCATTTTTCAAACGGGGCGGGGCTCCGCCTGATTTTGGAGCTGGAAGCGGAGGAAGCCACTGCGCCTGCGCGGGGAAGGACGGCGCGAGACAGGCCACTGAGGAGGGGGAAAGGCGCTTGCGCTGTGAGGGCGGTTCTCGCCCGCGAGGGAGGCGGGGCCCTAGAGAGAGGGGGGCCTCGAGCGTTGCGCCTGCGCAGTGCGCGGAAACGGAGGCGAGAGACCTTCAGCTTGACAAGGAGGGACGGACGGACGGAGGCCGCCGCCTTGAGGTGAGGGAAAGGGAAGCGGCGGCGGCGGCGGCGGCTTGAGGGAAGGAGAGCCCCCGTTCAGGCCCGCCTCTCTTCTCCACCCTGAGGAGAGGGGCCCAGCTCGTCTCCTCGCCCTCCCGGGGTCGGCCCAGGGCTGTCGGGTTGAAGGGAAGGGGCGGAGAGGGGCCCTCAGGAAGGAGCGACGGTGGTCGCCCCTCACACTCACTCTCCCCCCCCGCCCCGCCGTGCTTCTTTCATGCGTGGGGGGAGGAAATTCTTAGGTCAAGAAAGGTTCAGGGAAGGCAGGGAAAAGACAGTCCAGGCAGTACCAGGCAGTCTGAAGACTGTCTCCCAATCCACTCTCTAAACGCTGGGAGGGCGAGGAGACCCCCCCTCGCCCAAGGCAGGTCGGCCGGCCGACCCCCCGGTTGCCAAGAAGGCCGCCGCCTGAGGGGGGTTCTTGAGGAGGGG